GGACAACAAACAAAAAAGCCCAAACAACAAATTACAGCAAAATAAAACTGAAAATGCAAACAATAAACAACATCATAATTACCTAAAACATATGAATGCATAACGATATAAAATCCCATACCTTGGGAAGTCTGACTTGGCCACGATGGTCCACACTCTGGTTACATCCTGTATAGACTACTGCAACATGCTCTACGTGGGGTTGCCCTTGAAGACTGTCCAGAAGCTTTAAGTTGTCCAGCGTGGGGCAGTCAGGTTACTAACGTGAACGGCGCTCAGGGAGCATTCTACTCCACTCTTGCGCCAGTTCCACTGGCTGCCAATTTGCTACTGGGCACAATTCAAAGTGCTGGCTTTGGCCTATAAAGCCCTAAACCAGGGGTCCTCAAACGTTTTAAACAGAGGGCCAGGTCACAGTCCCCCAAACCGTTGTGGGGCTGGATTATAATTTGGAAAAAAAATATGAATTCCTATGCACACTGCACATATGTTATTTGTAGTGCAAAAACACTTATAAACAATACAGTTGTGGCGTAGCCGGTTATGAGTCAGCTGCATTGAAATCACTACTGACCAAAACGTCATGAGTTCGAAGCCAGCCCAGGTCGGAGTAAGCTCCCAATCTTTTGTCTAGCTTGCTGACGACCTTTGCAGCCCGAAAGACAGTTGCATCTGTCAAGTAGGAAATGTAGGTGCTGCTTATGTGGGGAGGCTAATTTAACTAATTTACCATGTCATAAAAATCTCCAGCAGTGTGCAAAAGAATGAGGAAGTACTCCATCGGTGTCACAAGTGAACAGTGAAGCAACAGCTCCCCCGGTAGCCAGAATTTGAACATACCCTCATGAAGCTGGAAAGTTAAATGGCCTCTGTGTATCTGTCTATATATGTTGTGTGTCTATGGCACTGAATGTTTGCCATTTATGTGTGCATTGTGAGTTCCCTGCGGGGTGAGATGTGCGGAATATAAATACTGTAAATAAAATGAAGAACAATTTTAACAAATATAAACTTATTAGTATTTCAACGGGAAGTGTGGGCCTGCTTTTGGCTGATGAGATAGGATTGTTGTTGTTGTTGTTGTTGTTGTTGTTGTTGTTGTTGTTGTTGTTGTGTGCTTTCAAGACTTAGGTTGACCTTGAGCCAGAGCTGGGTAAATGACCTTGGAGGGCCGTATCCAGCCCTTGGGCCTTAGTTTGAGGACCCCTGCCCTTAAGGGTTCCGGCCCAGCTTATCTATCCGAACGTATTTCTTCCTATGAACCGTCTAGGAATTTGAGATCGTCTGGGGAGGCCCTGCCTGCCTCACAGGCGAGTCTGGTGGGGACGAGAGACAGGGCCTTCTCAGTGGTGGCCCCTCAGCTGTGGAACTCCCTTCCCAGGGACATTAGATCAGCCCCCTCCCTTCTGACCTTTCGAAAACGAGTGAAAACCTGGCTCTTTGAGCAAGCTTTTGGAGCTGCAGCGTGATCTGTGACCTGACCGTTAACTATATAAATGGATGAGGAATTTGGATTTGTAGACATTGCTTTTGAATTGATTTTTAATTGATTTTTATGGATTTTGTATATATTTGTGATTCATTTTAATTATTTTTATTGATATATGTATATATCTGTGGAATGGCTGGGATGGGGCAAAGAGCTCTTCTCTGCTGGAGCTAGGTGTGAATGTTTTAACTGACCACCTTCATTAGCATTGAAAGGCCTGGCTGAGCCTGGGGGAATCTTTTGTTGAGAGGTGTTAAGATGTGCCTGGTTGTTTCCTCTCTGCTGTTTTGCTGTTGTAATTTTAGAGTTTTTTAATACTGGTAGCCAGATTTTGTTCATTTTCATGGTCTCCTCCTTTCTGTTGAAATTGTCCACATGCTTGTGGATTTCATTATAATCTGGCCCCAGGGATGGTTCAACCCATTACGCAAAGTAAGCATTTGCAGTATAGTTGATTTTGCCCAGGGGCGCTCTTGAGGTGCTCTTGGGGAAAATAGACCTTGACATATGCGAGTTGTAGTTACTGGGATGTATAGTTCACCTACAATCAAAGAGCATTCTGAACTCCACCAATGATGGAATTGAACCAAATATGGCACACAGAACTCCCACGATGAACAGAAAATATACATCAGTAATTGGTTGGGGTGGGGGGGGGGGGCAAAATACTGTTTGCTTACCGTTGAAAATTACCTAGGGCCGCCTCTGTCTGGCCCCGCAACAGTTGGAGGGACTGTGACCTGGCCCTCTGTTTAAAAAGTTTTAAAAGGCTGATCTAATGTCCCTGGGAAGGTAGTTTCACAGTCAAAGGGCCATCACTGAGAAGGCCCTGTCTGAGAAGACTGATAGCATCCCTTTGGATTGCACAGGATTTGCTGAGGCCAGAGAGACTCTTCACAGCCTATGGCGTTTGGGACTCCAACTCCCAGAAGCCTTGGCCAGCTTTGTCTAGGGCCGGGGATTCTGGGAAACTGAGTCCCAAATGGTCATAGGGTGCTTTAAGGGAGTGAGGGCCTTCTCCCTTTTGGATTGCATAGGATTTGCTGAGGCCAGAGAGACTCTTCACAGCCTATGGCGTTTGGGACTCCAACTCCCAGGAGCCTTGGCCAGCTTTGTCTAGGGCTGGGGATTCTGGGAAACTGAGTCCCAAATGGCCACAGGTCGAGTTAAAGGAGTGAGGGCCTTCTCCAGGCCTGCTCACCAGCAGAAAACAAGCTTGCTCCCTCCTCCCTGTGGCTTCCTCTCACATGGCTATCATATCTTCTTTTCTGCAGGCTAAACATGCCCAGCTCTTTAAGCCGCTCCTCATAGGGCTTGTTCTCCAGACCCTTGATCATTTTAGTCGCCCTCCTCTGGACACATTCCAGCTTGTCAATATCTCTCTTCAATTTTGTTGCCCAGAATTGGACACAATTAATACAATTAACAATCAACCTTTTGCATTGCACAGGATTTGCTGAGGCCAGAGAGACTCTTCACAGCCTATGGTGTTTGGGACTCCAACTCCCAGAAGCCTTGGCCAGCTTTGTCTAGGGCCGGGAATTCTGGGAAACTGAGTCCCAAATGGTCATAGGGCGCGTTGAGGGAGTGAGGGCCTTCTCCCTTTTGGATTGCATAGGATTTGCTGAGGCCAGAGAGACTCTTCACAGCCTATGGCGTTTTGGACTCCAACTCCTCTMTTTAAAAAGTTTTAAAAGGCTGATCTAATGTCRCTGGGAAGGTAGTTCCACAGCCAAGGGGCCATCACTGAGAAGGCCCTGTCTGAYAAGACTGATAGCAACCCTTTGGATTGCARAGGATTTGCTGAGGCCAGAGAGACTGTGCACAGCCTATGGGACTCCAACTCCCAGAAGRCTTGGCCAGCTTTGCCTAGGGCCGGGAATTCTGGGAAACTGAGTCCCAAATCGCCACAGGTCGAGTTAAGGGAGTGAGGGCCTCCTCCACCACAGAGAAGGCCCTGTCTGAGAAGACCCCCCTGGACTGATAGCAACCCTTTGGATTGCACAGGATTTGTTGAGGCCAGAGAGACTCTTCACAGCCTATGGCTTTTGGACTCCAACTCCCAGAAGCCTTGGCCAGCTTTGTCTAGGGCCGGGAATTCTGGGAAACGGAGTCCCAAATGGCCACAGGTCGAGTTAAGGGCGTGAGTGCCTTCTCCAGGCCTGCTCACCAGCAGAAAGCAAGGTTGCTCCCTCCACCTCCCTGTGGCTTCCTCTCACATATTTATACATGGCTATCATATCTCCTTTCAGCCTTCTCTTCTTCAGGCTAAACATGCCCAGCTCCTTAAGCCGCTCCTCATAGGGCTTGTTCTCCAGACCCTTGATCATTTGAGTCGCCCTCGTCTGGACACATTCCAGCTTGTCAATATCTCTCTTCAATGGTGGTGCCCAGAATTGGACACAATTAATACAATTAACAATTAACCTTTTGGATTGCACAGGATTTGCTGAGGCCAGAGAGACTCTTCACAGCCTATGGCGTTTGGGACTCCAACTACCAGAAGCCTTGGCCAGCTTTGTCTAGGGCCGGGGATTCTGGGAAACTGAGTCCCACATGGCCACAGGTTGAGTTAACGGAGTGAGGGCCTTCTCTAGGCCTCCTTGCACGCAGCTTGGGCCTCCAACTCCCAGAATGCCTGTCCGTTGGCTGGGAGGGCGAGGGCTTCTGGGAGTTGTAGGCAGGCCGCAATTGTATTGTTTTTAAGTGTTTTTTGCACTACAAATAAGATATGTGCTGTGTCCATAGGAATTTATTCATGTTTTTTTCTAATTATAATCTGGCCCCCCAACAGTTGGAGGGACTGTGACCTGGCCCTAAGTTTAAAAAGGCTGATCTAATGTCCCTGGGTAGTTCCACAGCTGAGGGGCCACCACTGAGAAGGCCCCTGGACTGATAGCAACCCTTTGGATTGCACAGGATTTGCTGAGGCCAGAGAGACTCTTCACAGCCTATGGCGTTTGGGACTCCAACTCCCAGAAGCCTTGGCCAGCTTTGTCTAAGCCCGGGGATTCTGGGAAACTGAGTCCCAAATGGCTCCGAGTTAAAACCAATACATATAGCATTAATTAAAACAATAAAACAAAGTCACAATGTCATCTGCCGCCACACCATTCCAGTCAGTGTCCACTATGGTGCAAATTAGGTCTGCTGCCCAAAGGCCTGGTCCCAAAACCACAATTTTAATTCTTTTCTGAAAGCCAGGAGGGATGGAATCGATCTTATTTCATTTGGGAGCGCATTCCATAGGCGGGGGGCCACAGCCGAGAAGGCCCTGTCTCTCGTCAATATCTCTCTTCAGTTGTGGTGCCCAGAATTGGACACAATTAATACAATTAACAATCAACCTTTTGGTTAATTGGTTTGCACAGGATTTGCTGAGGTCAGAGAGACTCTTCACAGCCTATGGCGTTTGGGACTCCAACTCCCAGAAGCCTTGGCCAGCTTTGTCTAGGGCCGGGGATTCTGGGAAACCGAGTCCCAAATGGCCACAGGTCGAGTTAAGAGAGTGAGGGCCTTCTCTAGGCCTGCTCACCACGCGGCTTGGGCCTCCAACTCCCAGAATGCCTGGCCGTTGGCTGGGAGGGCGAGGGCTTCTGGGAGTTGTAGGCAGTCCGCAATGACCCAATAGTGAAGCGGGCCGTTAGTTAGGGCGACCTCTGCATTCCGAGGCGAGAGAGGGTTTGCTGAGGCCGGGCCTTCCTTCCTTTCCTGAGGGGAGGGCCGCTCGGGCCTAGTCGGGCCTAGTCGGGCCTTGCTCCTCCCTCCCTCCCTCTCTCACTCCGCCTCCCTCCCTCCCTCCCTCCCACGCCTTTATTACGCGAGGCCCCGGCCGCCTCTTCTCCGGCTAGGCCCCGCCTCGCTGAGGGAGGGCGGAGAAGGCGAAGCGAAGCGAAGCGAGGAACCCCAGGCAAGGCAGTCAGTCTCGGCGCGGCCTGTCTTGGGAGTCTCGGAGCGGCCTTCTCTTCCTTCCATCTCTTGAGGGAAGGGAGGGAGGAGAGAAGGGAGGCGGCGGCCAGGCGCTCTCCAGGCCGGGCTCCGCGTTTGATGGATCCCCGGATCGCCTGGTTCCAGCCAGAGCAGCTCGGCCCCTCCAACCGCCTGTGGATGCAGACCTGGGAGACCACGCAAGGGATGCGCAACCTCTACTTCCAGCAGCAGCAGCAGCAGCAAGAGCAGCCTCCCTCCTCGCCTCAGCCCCCCGCCATCGTCGGCATGAACTTCTTGCCCCTGGAGAACAACAACCACCACTACAAGCTAGGCCCGGCCTCCTCCTCGGCCTCGATTGGCGCGCCTTCCCCGGCCTCGGCGGCGGCCAGCAACAAGAGGAAGCGCGTCAACAAGGCCAGCACCTTCGGGCTCAATTTCGCGCTTCTCTTGGGAGGAGGAGGGGAAAGCGGAGGAGGAGGAGGAGGGAGCAGCAGCAGCCCCAAGTTGCCCGGGGAAGGGCCCCGAGAAGAGGAGCCTCCAGCCGGCCTGGGATACACCGGCACGCCCTGGAAGAAGGACGAGGCCAAGGGCGGCTATGGGCCCGGCGTGATCGGGTGAGGCTCTTCCTTCTGTCCTAGGCTACTTTGGCCCTCCAGGCAGGTCATGTTATGGGGCAAAGGGCTGTCAACAGTCAGTCCCCGAGTTACGAACCAGAGCCCTTCCAGAGGGTGGAATAATGAGGCTAGATTAAGCATGGGCCCTCAACAGTCACTCCCCCAAGTTACGAACCAGAGCCATTCCAGAGGGTGGAATAATGAGGCTAGATCAGTGGTTCTCAACCTGGGGTCCCCAGATGTTTTTGGCCTTCAACTCCCAGAAATCTTAACAGCTGGTAAACTGGCTGGGATTTCTGGGAGTTGTAGGCCAAAAACACCTGGGGACCCCAGGTTGAGAACCACTGGACTAGATCATTATTTGTTGGGAGTTGTTAGCTGGCCCTGCTTGTTTCGTATCTGGAATTCCCCTGTTTTGAACCAGATCCATTCCAGAGGGTGGAATAATGAGGCTAGATCATTATTTGTTGGGAGGTGTTAGCTGGCCCTTATTGTTTCATGTCTGGAATTCCCCTGCTTTGAACCAGATCCATTCCAGAGGGTGGAATAATGAGGCTAGATCATTATTTGTTGGGAGGTGTTAGCTGGCCCTTATTGTTTCATGTCTGGAATTCCCCTGCTTTGAACCAGATCCATTCCAGAGGGTGGAATAATGAGGCTAGATCATTATTTGTTGGGAGGTGTTAGCAGGCCTTGATTGTTTCTTGTCTGGAATTCCCTTGTTTTGAATCAGATGCATTTGAAAAAATAATGAGGCTAGATCAAGCATGGGCCCTCAACAGTCAGTCCCCGAGTTACGAACCAGAGCCATTCCAGAGGGTGGAATAATGAGGCTAGATCATTATTTGTTGGAAGGTGTTAGCTGGCCCTGATTGTTTCTTGTCTGGAATTCCCATTTTTTGAACCAGATCAATTCTAGAGGGTGGAATAATGAGGCTAGATCAAGCATGGGCTAACTTGGGCCCTCCCTCCAGGTGTTTTGGACTCCCACAAATCCTAACTGCCCCAGGCCCCATTCTTTCCCAGAAGCATTATCTCCTGACGTTTCGCCCACATCTATGGCAGGCATCCTTTGTTGGGATGTGTTGGCTGGCCCTGATTGTTTCTTGTCTGGAATTCCCTTGTTTTGAACCAGATCCATTTGAAAGAATAGTGAGGCTAGATCAAGCACGGGCCAACTTGGGCCCTCCCTCCCGGTGTTTTGGTCCTAGGGCTCTTTGGCCCCCCAGGCAGGTCATGTTATGGGGCAAAGGGCTGTCAACAGTCAGTCCCCGAGTTACGAACCAGAGCCATTCCAGAGGGTGGAATAATGAGGCTAGAACATGGGACCTTAATAGTCAGTTCTGTGTTACGAACCAGATCCTTTCCAGAGGGTGGAATAATGAGGCTAGATCAAGCATGGGCCCTCAACAGCCACTCCCCCGAGTTAYGAACCAGATCCATTCCAGAGGGTGTAATAATGAGGCTAGAACATGGGCCCTTAACAGTCAGTTCCCCGAGTTACGAACCAGATCCACGGGCCCTCAACAGACAGTCCCCGAGTTACGAACCAGATCCCTTCCAGAGGGTGGAATAATGAGCCTAGATCAAGCATGGCTCCTCAACAGTCAGTCCCCCGAGTTACGAACCAGATCCATTCCTAAGGGGTGATAATGAGGCTGGAGCATGGGCCCTCAACAGGCAGTCCCCGAGTTACGAACCAGAGCCATTCCAGAGGGTGGAATAATGAGGCTAGAACATGGGACCTTAACAGTCAGTCTCCGTGTTACRAACCAGATCCTTTCCAGAGGGTGGAATAATGAGGCTAGATCAAGCATGGCTCCTCAACAGTCYKTCCCCCGAGTTACGAACCAGATCCATTCCTAAGGGGTAATAATGAGGCTAGAGCATGGGCCCTCAACAGGCAGTCCCCGAGTTACGAACCAGAGCCATTCCAGAGGATGGAATAATGAGGCTAGATCAAGCATGGCTCCTCAACAGTCTGTCCCCCGAGTTACGAACCAGATCCATTCCTAAGGGGTAATAATGAGGCTAGAGCATGGGCCCTCAACAGGCAGTCCCCGAGTTACGAACCAGAGCCATTCCAGAGGGTGGAATAATGGGGCTACATCAAACATGGGCCCTCAACAGTCATTCCCCGAGTTACAAACCAGAGCCATTCCAGAGGATGGAATAATGAGCCTAGATCAAGCATGGGCCCTCAACAGTCACTCCTCCAAGTTACGAACCAGAGCCATTCCAGAGGGTGGAATAATGAGGCTAGATCAAGCATGAGCCCTCAACAGTCACTCCCCCGAGTTACAAACCAGAGCCATTCCAGAGGGTGGAATAATGAGGCTAGATCATTATTTGCTGGGAGGTGTTAGCTGGCCCTGATTGTTTCTTGTTTGGAATTCCCCTGTTTTGAACCAGATCCATTCCAGAGGGTGGAATAATGAGGCTAGATCATTATTTGTTGGGAGGTGTTAGCTGGCCCTTGATTGTTTCTTGTCTGGAATTCCCCTGTTTTGAACCAGATCCATTCCAGAGGGTGGAATAATGAGGCTAGATCATTATTTGTTGGGAGGTGTTAGCTGGCCCTGATTGTTTCTTGTCTGGAATTCCCCTGTTTTGAACCAGATCCATTCCAGTGGGTGGAATAATGAGGCTAGATCATTATTTGTTCGGAGGTGTTAGCTGGCCCTGATTGTTTCTTGTCTGGAATTCCCTTGTTTTGAACCAGAGCCATTTGAAAGAATAATGAGGCTAGATCAAGCATGGGCCAACTTGGGCCCTCCCTCCCAATTTTTTGGGACTCCCAACTCCCACAAATCCTAACTGCCCCAGGCCCCATTCTTTCCCAGAAGCACTATCTCCTGATGTTTTGCCCACATCTATGGCAGGCATCCACATTTGTTCATATCTAGGGGACTGCCTGTATTCGTTCACACGTGTAGGTTTCTCACCCTTTATTTGTATCTTTGCAGCTCAAGGTCCCTTGGGTTTCATCCCAGATACTTCAGATGTCTGTTTCTGAGTGCTGAGGCATGTTCTCAGCAGGCATGTGCACATGTATAGATGGGCAGTTCAGCACTTTTCCCTCATTCAGACAGGTGGCTTCCTACTCTTTCCCCATTACTATACCTTTGGACTTAGGAGTCCCAGGGTTACATACCAGAAGCCCAGGACAGCAGGAGTTCAGAACAGAGACAAGCAGCTACATGGTTATGTGTGATCATGCATCTGCATGTATGGGTGGTTCCACACTCCTTGCCTGTATTTATGCCTTTGGACCCAGGGGTTTTGTATCAGAAGGTGAAGGAGACAGATCCATTGAGAAACATGCAAGCATGTACATGAGTGCATTACAATGGAACTTAAAATATATGATACACATATAAAATCACAGCAGCCAATGACAAATCGTAGCCTGCTTGATTAAAAAAGTGTTAGGCTTCCGCCAGAAGGACAGTTCGGAGGGAGCCATTCTGGCTTCCATGGCAGGAAGTTCCAGAGTTATGGGGCAGCCACCGAAAAGGCCCGCTTTTTCGATCCCACCAACTGAGCTTGAGATGGAGGTGGGACTGAGAGAAGGGCCTCTCCTGAAGGGGATCTCAGGGCCATGGCAAGTTCATACAAAGGGATGCAGTTGGACAAATAGCCTGGACCTGAACCGTCTATGGCAGGGGTCCTCAAACTTTTTAAAGAGAGGGCCAGGTGACACAGTCCATCAAACTGTTGGAGGGCTGGATTATAATTTGAAAAAAACGAATGAATTCCTATGCACACTGCACATATCTTAATTGTATGCAGAAACACTTAAAAACAATACAATAATTAAAATGAACAATGTTAACAAATACAAACTTATTAGTATTTCAATGGGAAGTGTGGGCCTGCTTTTGGCTGATAGGGAAAGGATTGTTGTTGTCGAAGGCTTTCATGGCTGGAATCACTGGGTTGTTGTAGGTTTTTTTGGGCTATAGGGCCATGTTCTAGAGGCATTTCTCCTGACGTTTCGCCTGCATCTATGGCAAGCATCCTCAGAGGTGTGAGGTCTGTTGGAAGTAGGAAAAATGGGTTTATATATCTGTGGAATGGCTGGGGTGGGGCAAGGAGCTCTTCTCTGCTGCAGTTAGGTGTGAATGTTTAGCTGATCACCTTCATTAGCATTTGAAGGCCTGCCTGAGCCTGGGAAAATCTGTTGCTGGGAGGTGTTAATCTGTGCCTGGTTTTTTCCTCTCTGTTGTTTAGCTGTTATAATTTTAGAGTTTTTTAATACTGGTAGCCAGATTTTGTTCATTTTCATGGTCTCTTCCTTTCTGTTGAAATTGTCCACATGCTTGTGGATTTCAATGGCTTCTCTGTGTAGTCTGACATGGTGGTTGTTGGTGTGGTCCAGCATTTCTGTGTTCTCAAATAATATGCTGTGTCCAGGCTGGTTCATCAGGTGTTCTGCTATGGCTGACTTCTCTGGTTGAAGTAGTCTGCAGTGCCTTTCATGTTCCTTGATGCGTGTCTGGGCGCTGCGTTTGGTGGTCCCTATGTAGACTTGTCCACAGCTGCATGGTATACGGTAGACTCCTGCAGAGGTGAGAGGATCCCTCTTGTCCTTTGCTGAACGGAGCATTTGTTGGATTTTCTTGGTGGGTTTGTAGATTGTTTGTATGTTGTGTTTCCTCATCAGCTTCCCTATGCGGTCAGTGGTTCCCTTGATGTCTGGCAGGAACACTTTTCCTCTGGGTGGATCTTCATCTTGACTCTCGTGGCTTCTTCTCGGTGGTCTTGCAGCTCTTCTGATGTCTGAGGTGGAGTCTCCCTTGGCCTGGAGAGCCCAGTTGAGGTGGTTCAGTTCATCTTGGAGGAGGTGGGGTTCGCAGATTCTTTTTGCACGGTCTGCCAAGGCTTTAATGGTGCTTCTTTTTTGACTTGGGTGATGGTTGGAGTTTTTATGTAGATATCTATCTGTGTGTGTGGGTTTTCTGTAGACGGTGTGACCCAATTGTTGATCTGGTTTGCAG